GAACATCAGCGCGAACTGATCAGCCTTTGAGTTGCTCTATGCCTCAGAGATCAAGTCTCTCCAATTAGTCAACAGCATAAGGGATAAAGAGATCCCCACAATGGCAAGAAGAAAGGCTTTGCTAATCTCCGCAAAGTGAGAAGGACCTACAGAAGAGTAGGATGTGGAGCCAAGGGCACGAATGAGGTCTGGATCCATGGACCACATATTCGGGGATTGGCGTAAGTAGTTTCCACATCTTGGTCTCTGTGCTTTATATTAATAACAGGGAGACGGAGAACAGGAACAGTTCTGCAACAACTGCAAGGCACTCCCATTGCCCAGTGACTTCCTCCCTAGTCACATTTTTCCTGGTGAGCAGTTTAAGATCAACCCCAGTAGGCTGGACGTCCTTGTTTCTGCACTTGCTGCCAGTACATCTTTGCATGAGAAATGAGTCGGGGTATGTGAGCAGCGTAACCATGAAGTGAGAAGGGCAACACAGAAGGTCCAATAGCTAAGGCAGGCTTGCATTCTGGCAGTTCCACACTTGTTGAAACAACTTTTGTACACTTCAATCTTGTGCATATCCATTTAGAAACAAAGAGAGAGAGAGTGACTCAGAAGGGATCTCCTGTGCCATCTAGTCTGACCTCCAGGTCCAGACTGCTCCGCTCACTATATGCCCACCATCTGCATGTCCAGCCTATCCTTTGAAATATAAAGAAGAAAAATCATATCCATTCCTAATCAATGAGTGAATTAAATTTCCATTCGCGGTGCCCTTGAATGTGCACAAGGAACACATAAAGCGAGGCCTCCCTTTTGCTTCTGCGCAGCTCTCCTGAGCACAGAAAAGACTGAAGAGGCCCATGGGCACATATAGTGGGTCATGCTCTGAGTCAAGGTGGATTTTTAGTGGGGTGAGAAAGAGAGACTGTACCTTCTCTCACCCAGTTCAGTGTTATTCTCTGTTTTCTAAGATTGCCCTGATTCAGGTGCAGGCACAAGGAAAAATTGTTGCGGGTGACTCTGGAGCAGTCCAAAGCAGCACAAGAAGCATGGACTGAGTGAGAGAGAGACATGCTGTTCACCTGTTCCCTTCAGAGACTGGAATGCATATGCAGGCAAGGTCAATTCTCAGGGATGCACAGCTGCACCAGTAGTTGAAAGGAGCTGCTACTGCAGTGCCAGCCAGGACACCAGTGGAAAGAAGCTCTGTGGATGATCTCTTTTCCATACACGCAGCGGGATCTTTTGCAAGCTTGTGGCTGTCTGACCTGTGCTGCCTGCTTCTGCTTTCCTGTGCAGGGACTGCACTGATCATCTTTTCTGGGAAGAAGCAGGGACTGGATGGACAACGGTCTGATTGAGGTTGCTGAAGTGATTCCTACAGCCTCTTCAAAAATCATGTTTGCACATGAATCCTAGAGAATGAATACTGCCTTCCTTTCCTGTACGCATAGTCCTGCCAGCAGGAGGGTGAGAATAGTAGAATAAAGTACTCCCATGTATGATCATGTACTTCGAAAAGGTAAAATGATTTAACAGTGCACTCCCATATTTGTCTACACAGCCATAATTCTGATCAAATTTGTCCATTTTAGTTCACTGATTCCCAAGATGTCGAGGTTCAGCCTTGGCACCTCATGTTTGACCACATCCAGCTTACCTTGATTCATAGATCTTACATTCCAGGTTCCTATGCAGCATTGTTCTTTGCAGCACAGGACTTTCCTTTCACCACCAGATACATCTGCAACTGAGTGTCCTTTTGGCTCTGACCCAGCCGCTTCATTATTTCTGGCACTACTAGTACTACCCCTCTGCTCTCCCCCAGTAGCACAATGGACACCTTCTGACCTGAGGGGCTCATCTTCCGCCGTCATACCTCATCACCCTTTGGAACTGTCCATGGGGTTTTCATGGCAAGGATACTGGAGTGGGTTGCTATTTCCTTCTCCAGTGGATCACCTTTTGTCAGAGCTCTCTGCTATGACCTGACCGTCTTGGGTGCCCCTGCATGGCGTAACTCATAGCTTCATTGTGCTACACAAGTCTCTTCGCAATGGCAAGGCAGTGATCCATCTACTTGGACACAAGTCCCACTGAATTCGGTGGACCATGTTTCCAAGTCAGTAGGTGTAGAATTTTAAATTAGTTAACGGCAACTTGGAAAAAAGCAGATGCAGATTGAGAAAACCAAATATAAATGCAAACTAAAATAAAGATTTTCACAAAATATATTTAAAACTCAGATAGCCAGTAGAATAATTAGTCATGATTAATGATTTGGGGTGCCAAAAATGTATACACATTTTAAGAAAGGAAAAATGGTATTAAAATTGTAATATCAATATATAGCGATAATACTCAATAGTGATAACAAAAGATCAATACAAGACACTCAATAGCGATAACAAAAGATTAATACAAGGCATGTCTGACTGCAATTACAAGAGGTGCTCAGTGAGGTTACCATCAGTGTCCAGACACTTCTAATTATGGTCAACTGCTCTTTGAGCAACATTAACCAAACTGTCCATTTGTATCTGCATTTCAGTTTTTTCCCAAAGTACCGCCAACATATTACACATTGCTACCATAACTCAATTCTTCTTTGAAATGTGATACACAGATAACAACTCTTGAAATGTGCATACATTTTTGGCAACCCCTGTATATGCTGGCAATAGGGTAATTATAGAAATACAGAGTATTAATAATGCCCCTAGACTTTCTGAATATGTCTGTAATATTTGCCTACTGAGAAGAAATAAACTTGTTTGCTCATCATGCAAAGATAAATAAGCAGCCAGCAATTATCATAAGTATAGACCTTCCTTTGGAAATGTTTGCTTCTGAAGATGCATGAAGATTCACGTACCCAGCATAATTATTTAATAATCACAGGGATACTTCTGCTATAGCCACGTCTCTAGAAAATAATACATTTGGTACACTTTCATTGTGCTTTTCTTCTGAAGGTACTGGAAGATTCATATTCATTCATGATAAGCACCACAAGAATAATTCTGCCACAGAGATGTCTTCAGAGAACAGCAATACAGTATCAGAATTTGTCTTCTTGGGATATCCAGATCAGCCAGAATGGAAGATTCCCATTTTCTCGTTGTTCCTACTGATCTACGTTATCACTGTGGTGGGCAACCTTGGAATGATTTTACTGATCTGGTTAGACACTCAGCTTCATACCCCCATGTACTTTTTCCTCAGTAATTTGGCCCTCCTAGATTTTTGCTATGCATCTAACATCACCCCCAGAGCACTGGGAAATCTTCTGTCACACAGGAAAGCCATTTCCTTCCTGGGGTGCTTCCTCCAAATGTATTTCTTTGTTGCTCTTGTAACGACGGAATGCATCCTTTTTGGGCTGATGGCCTACGACCGTTACGTGGCCATCTGCAACCCGTTGCTCTATCCATCTGTCATGTCCCATGCCCAGTGCATCAAGATGGCAGGTGGGGCCTTCACAGCTGGCTTCCTGAACTCGCTTATCCATACCACTTTGGTGGGCACTTTGTCTTTCTGCAAGTCCAATGAAATCAACCACTTCTTCTGTGAG